TGTTTTGCCCTTAACATTTTTTTTTTTTTTTAAAAAACAACAGACAACAACACCCCCCCCCCGCGCGCGTCGAGCGCATGTCTGCTTGGGCGCGTGCAGTGTATCGTGCTTTACTCGTGGTGTTGTATGGATCCAACCCGGGCCCGGGCCCAACGACGGTGCAGGGACCTTTTGAGAGGGGAGAGGGGAAGACTAATTCAGCAGGGGGGGGGGGGGGGGTACTTAATGTAAACGCATGCGGTAGTCGTTAAACCTCGCATCCCTACAACGCCGGGAGGGAGCGATATTCCGGGTTTTCACCTACCCAGGCTATGTTTCGCAAGGGTGGGCCAGAAGCTGGTAGTGTCATCGTCCTTGCGCTTGCTGTGCCAAACCAGATAGCCATGGGTAGATTGGGCATCCCGGGGGGGGGGGGAGTACTCTTATGTTTTGCATGCCTTAGCGGTTAGACCATTGACCACGCGTCCTCGAGAGGACGGAGCATTGTTCCCACAGGACCGATCACCGATGGCCAATCGTTCCTTCCTACTTTGCCAAAGGTTTCTCAAAAATGTCTCCCTAGTCTTGTCTGTCCTAACGATATCCCTTCTCGCCTTTTCAAACCACTTCCTACTCCCCAGTACAGCTACCGTCCTCTCCTCTCTATTCCATGCCTCAAACATCTCCCTGTACCTCCCTTGTATTTTCCCACCTCAGTCATGTACACTTCCCTCTCCTCTTCGTACAACTGACATTCCGCGACTACATGAACACGGTCTTCGCATTCGAAGCCGCAATCACATTTGAACTTGTCGTCTTCGTCGTCTACCGTCCTATGTCTTCGTCGACGTTCTCGAAGGCCTATGTCCCCGGTCCTGAATTTGACCTTAAGCTTTGTCCCTACTCGACCACCATTATGGTTACCGCCAAAAAAAAACACCAGAGGTGAAAAAAACCCCGGTAACCTGGTTGCCGAGTTCACGAAGTGAATTGGCTTGTTTTACAACGTCGTTGCCAAGCGACGAAAACCCAATCCCGATGGCAAACACCGAGAGGGGGGCGAGTTGCATCCCGGGGGGGGGGGGGGGGGGGGGGGGGGGGGACCCAAAAAGGGGGGGGGGGGAGGTTTTTTTTTTTTAAGCCCCCTCCCCCCAAAAGAGGGGGGGGGGAGGGCCGGGTTTTCCCCGGGAAA